GATGTTTCAGCAGCTGGCCGTGGCAGCCATGTTGGATGTTTCAGCAGGTGGAGGTCGGGTGTGGCGGTTGAGTTTCTACAAAACGGTGAAATGTTTGTTGGTTGAAGGTGTCCACTCCACCCGTGGACCCAGCTTTAGGTAAATAAAACCGTTTCTGAAACGATTTGTTCTGGTTCTTGTTTAAAAAGAGAAATTAACGGCAGGATTTAAAACTGGACATCTGTACATGAACCTCTGCAGAGCGTCGTCCGCTAAGACTTGATTTGTCCCGGTACTTTGGTCCTGGAGGACACTCGGCGTCCCGCCTCGTCCTGTGAGCGTTCAGGCAGAGGGAGATGAACGTGTGGGTCAGAAGGTTTTAGTGCATCTGCTGCAGCATCAGTCGGGTCAGGCCTGATAAGATGCTGCTCACTTCCTGTCCTCCTCCAGCTTCATCCTCATTAATCTGCTCCATGTCTTCGTCCCCGTTTGTCTGTCCTCCTCACAGTCGGACTTGACGTTTTAATTTAATTTATTTATTGTCTGGCTCATTCAGAGTTTGAAGAAGAACTCTGATCAGATGTTTGATGTTTGCAGCAGACACGAACGTTTAAACAGAAAAATATTAGCGTTCTGAACACAACAGTTCTCAGAGCAGAGGAGGGTGTGTCTGCACAAGGACAGGATGGGAAGACATCAGCAATGAGCTTAGAGAAGCAGCTGCTGAAAGGTCAAAGGTCATGTCCAAACTACCTGGAGTTCATCGCTCCACAGAGAAGAGTGGAACATATTTGAGACAGTAGATTCACCTGAAGGTCAGACTGTGCAATGAGCTCCGTCTCAGACTCCACAGCCCGCACCTAGCAGGTCAAAGGTCATGACAGGACAGTTGGATCATCTAATGGGTTCAGTTTCAGCTCCACCACGTTGGTCCGGACTGTTGGTTCTGTTTCTCCTCAAACGAGAACCAATGGGCCCCCCACGTTGTGAGGACGTTCTGACTTGCTGGTTCTGTCCCGGTTTGATCGTGGGTCCGCTCAGAATCCGGTCTTCACATTCTCCTCTCAGACAGAAAGCTCGGAGCAGAACAAAGGTTCTGTTTCCAGAGCTTCAAACTGATCCGGCTCGAACCTGCGGCCTCACGATTACGAGGGGCGGCTGTGGCTCAGTGGTTAGAGCAGTCGTCCTCCAATGCAAGAGTTGGGGGTTCGAATCCAGCAGCAGTCACATGCTGAAGTGCCCCTGGGCAAGACCCTGAACCCCTCATTGCCTCTGTGTGTCCCATCAGTGTCTGGATGTGATAAAGCTCTGATTAGTCTCTGTACAGATCTAGATAGATCTATCTTTGTACAGATCTAGATAGATCTGTCTTTGTACAGATCTAGATAG